TTAATAAAAAATAGCCAATCAACGTTGGATTTGCAATAATCACATTTTTTATGATCGGAGTCAAATCCGCCCATATGTGTGTCTGTTTGTCACTTTTAACAGATTTGATTGGCTAATTTGAGGTCCATCATCTATTCATTTGATCTTTTTTTTAACGTTCACTTATTTTCAGGTAATCGAATTGTTCGAATTTTGATTATCTCGGAATTACTTAGCACAGATTCACAAGAAATTGGCTTTTTATCTTATTTCTTGTAAGACTTTGGTCTAAGCGTATCACGCGATCTACTTGCCTGTTGATTTGATTTTAGTAGGTGTGATCAGAAAGGAAAAGCTATAAAAATACTATAATTTATATTGAATCCTTGGTTAAAAAACGCAACTTCGCAAACGGATAACAATCAGGTGAATGCAACAGATTATAATGTAGGTTACAATCTCAAAGATCCACCATTTTGCAGCGATAAATGATACTTTTGTAAAAGTTTGGTTTTTAAATACAAATTTGTGTAGAAATCCTCTTTGTAATTATTTGCATGTATATTATTATAAACACAAATTACACTTTCTAAATTAAAACCTCAAATTAAAATGATATGTTAATAGCTCTTATATTATTAAAAAACTTTGTTATTTCTGACTGATGAACTATCATAAATAAAAGCTGCACTATCAGGGTCGCATCCGGTTAAAAAACTTGAATTATACCTGGAGGTATTTTGCTTGAGGAGAGTATACCGTAGATTCTCGAAATAGCAGGCATCTGCGCGCTATTTTGAATACGTGCGCGCTATTTTGAGTACGCGCATGGGCGATATTTTGAAACAGATATAAATTTTTATATACAAAAAGTAAATAAATAAAAAAATGCTCCGAAACTAGGCTTGGTACTAAGTAAACCTACTTTTGGGATTTAATAAAAGTTGTTCTTCAGGTCGAGACGATTATATGGCGGTAAGATCACTAAAAAAGTCTAGTATATCGCCCAATAAATTTTTGAAGTTTTGCAACGTTTGTTTATCTTTGTTTATAAGTTGCAGCTCATATAAGCAAAGATAAATAAACATTGCTATTGCGGGCGATCTACTGAATCGTTTTTGATGATCTACCACCATTAGAACCGTCTCTAACTGAAGAACAATTTTTATTAAGCTCGTAAGTAGGTTTACTTAGTACCAAACCTAGTTCCGAAGCATTTTTTAAATTTTATTATCCCTTGCGGGTGCGCATGGGCGTTATTTCGAAACTACCTATGCTATTTTTAGGGTGCGTGATTTTCTAATTAACGCCCCTGCCCGCTATTTCGAGAATTTACGGTAGTAATAGGTAGATAGCTATAGCTATATAAACATTAAGTTGGATCTTCTATAGTATAGGTGGGCAATATATATATATATATATAATATATATATACTGTATTATAAGATTATTGTAATATATAAAAACTCTAATCCTAACCCTACTTGTTAAATTACTAATCAAGAAATCCCGGGCACACTAAATTCATAATTCCACTAAATTCTTTAGACCGGCACAATAGGGAGGTCTACTATCAAGGGATATTTTATATGGCTATTTACGGTAAATCTCACTCCGCTACGTTCTTGGTATTCTTGCGCCAAACAAGAAATTTAAACATCACAATTTCTACATTAATTGGGGATCGACGTATATGTGGTTATATAATAAAATTTATTAATGAAGATTTTTAGATAGGTTAATAAGTTTATAATAAATATTAGAAATTTTTAAATAGATGCACAGCCATAACTGTTCGATAGTTTTGGATAAAATTTTGCAAAGACTAGTATTATATCTCTACAAAGAATGTTACAGAGCCAATTTATTAAAAAAGAAGCTAAATTAGTTGCTTTTTTTTTATTAAAAAAAAAAAAAAAACATACATAATATATTAATTTTTTTTTCATATTTAAATAAAAGAAATGACTCAGTAACTTTGTTTGTATTGATCTAATACAGGTTTTTGCAAAATTTTATCCAAAACTGTCGAACCGTTAGAGCTGTGTATATATTTAAAATTTCTAATAATTATTACAAACTTATTTTCCTATCTAAAAATCTTTATTAATGTAATGTTATATTAAAATCCAAATATCGGCTTCGATAAAGTATTTGCATACAAACTTTTATTGATGGAAATATTTGATAACAATGTTTATGTTTTGTTAAGGTATAATTGTGATTTTCTTCACCGTACGTACGTAAATACGTACTAATTTTTAAGCCGATCCAAATACATTAATGATCATTGTTAATTTGACAATTCACCCTTCGTTTGTCATCTTTTTATTTTTTTTGAAATAATGGCTGTTACTGGTTTTTTTTAAGGATCTTTCTGGAGATCTTTTAAATATTCTTAATGATGCTGATGAATATGATGTTATTATTCAGGCTGGTAAAGAGCCAGACTTTAAAGAATTTAAAGCTCATTCAGTTATTTTACGTGCTAGATCTCCTTACTTCAAAATTGCTTTATCCGACAAATGGGCGAAAAATAAAGAAGATATTTATTATTTTGCAAAGCCAAATATCTCACCAGCTATATTTCATTTAATTCTACGGTGTGAGATTATGTGAATTTTATATATACTCAACTCAACCAACATCTTTTACTAATTATGTAATTTAAAGGTATATTTATACAGGAATCCTTGACTTACAAAATCAATCTGGGTCTAATATTTTCGCTCTTCTTATTGCTGCCGATGAATTATTGCTTGATCAATTAGTTGGTCACGTACAAGAATATGTAAGGCTAATATATGTAAACGTATATTTTAATATAATTCGCAACTTACGTGTATCATAAAAATGATAAAACTATATAACATAGCTCATTCGTTATGAGTGCGCTTGGCTTCAAAAAAACTTTGTTACAATTATACCTACTGTCTTCAAAGATTCAAAGTTGTAAGGAAATCCAACGTTACATTACGAATATTCGCCCTCTACCAATAAATTCAGATTCAGATCTTCTTGATTTTCTTGTTACTGCTGATGAATTGGCTCTTGATGAATTAATTAACCGCGTTCCATAACTTGTAAGTCTAATTGGCATATCAATTTGATTTTTTAATTGCATATTATACAATAAAATAATATAAAATATTTATTCAGTTTATTGGAATTGGAACAGAACCCTCTTGGCTTAAAGAAAGTTTAGTTGATTTTTTATTCAATATCGTCGAACTGGAAAGATGTGGGAAGATTCAAGATTGTATTATAAAAATTATTAGCGAAAAAGGACTCTGACTCTATTGGCTTAAAGAAAACATATTTGTTTTTTTGTGGGATAATGTTAACCTCGAAAAATGCAAGAAACTCAAAGCTTATATCATAGAAGCTATTTGTATAGATCCAGAACCATTATTATTTGAGTTAGCAAACTTTCCAACATTAGATAAAGGTATTTTTTTAGAACTTATTAAAAGAGATGATCTAATTATCGAAGAAATCAATGTTTGGAAATATTTAATGAAATGGGGGATGGCTCAATTTATTCCTTTACCAGAAGAAGATATTTTTTTATCAGAAGAGAAACCAATCAATTCATATGTAACCAGCTGGGGAAAAAATGAATTTACATCATTAAAAAAATATATAGATCAATTTATACCTTATATTCGATTTTATGAAATTTACGGGCTGAATTTTATCATCATGTTATACCTTTTAGAAAAGTGTTGTCAAAAAATCTTTATACAGAATTACAAGCATATTTTCTGGCTGATATTAAACAACATGATAAGTGGCAATCACGTGTCAAAATGATTAGTATCGACTCTGCTATCATTAAAGAGGAAAATGCTCGGGACATTGCCAGGTGGATCTGCCTTTCTCAAAAAACCTTCTTACGAGTTTATACTAAAGCATCGAGCGACCCGCAATGGATTTGATTCCAAAAATTTTTTAAAAGTCCATCGATGGTTTTACTAATTAAGGTTAAAGATTCAGATAGAATAATTGGTGACGTTAAGAATAATAGTTCATGGTATAATTCTCGTAAATTGCTTTTATATGTCTACGTATGAACTATTGATTGAATGAATACTACTAACTCATTTCCATCAAAGGGGGTATAGACCGAATAGTTATAACGGGTTTGCCTTTTATTTTGGTAATGGAAAAGATTATACTCGTAATTGTCAAGTAGAAGTTCGAACCGGAGATGAGCCACAGGTAGATTCCAGAGACAGAAACAGAAATAGCCTTTTGAAATTGCTTGGCAAGGGGATTTCTCCAAAGCTGATTGATATTAATGATCCTTGTCAAGTGGAAGTTCGAACCGATGACGAACCACGGGTAGGTTTTCCAACCGGTGATGAATCATGGGTAGATTTCAGAAGAGGCGGACATAGCTTTTTGAAATTGTTTGGCAAGAAGGGGACTTATTCAATACTGGATGATATTGATTTTATTGCTGAAGAAATTGAAATATTTTCCATTAAAATTTAATTGCTTATTATTTTATCGAAACTAGGAGTGACAGGATTACACTATAAGTAATAAATTATGGAAATTTACGTATAAGAACTCGAAAAATGATAGCCACAAATAAATTACATTTATCCGGCATTTTCTATTTGTTGAATTTTGCAGCGGATTTTTTATCAAAATTTTCTTCGGCTACAATAGCATTTTTATACAGTATTATTTGCAAATAGAATATTATTCATGCTTATTTTCAGTTTGGATCATTTTTTATTCGAAAATAATTAATTTGAAATTATTTGTAGTTTTTTTTAATAAATTTATATTATATAATAGTATTTTTTTTTTTTAATGACTAATTCAGTTAACGTAACCTGTCCCAGATTTTCTATTTGCATATCTAACTAAAAAATCACCAGTCATAGCGATAAGCATTAAATAATTTATATAAATTTTAATGACTAATTTGTGGGTCGGAGTTAAAGTAACCTGTCCCAGATTTTCTATTTACTAAAAAATCGCCAGTCATAGCGATAAGCATTAAATAATTTATATATGAAAGGTATAAAAAAATATAAAAGGTATAAAAGAATATAAAAGGAAAGTCCTTAAAGCTGGATTAAAGACGTGTATTTTTTTTTCTTCAGGATGGTTCAAGAAAAAAGGGACAGGTGGGTCAATTGCATAGATACTATTAAAAAAAAAAAAATTCAAAAAAAGGGAGAATTAGTACCAGTAGACCTCAAGCTTGCCAAAAAAAGTATTAGTCGCGACACATTAACATTAATCGATACTTACTTTTTATATCGCGTACTTCAATATCTATTTATGATTTCTCCGGATTGCGTTTTTCTTTTCGTTTATTATTTTAAAATAATCGTAGGTTTAGATACAGCGTAATAATATAAGTAAATAAACATGTCAATACGAGTAAACATAGAACGGAAACAATTCAAAATTTATATTTGATCAAAAATATGATCATTTACCTGATTTGTGTGGTGATAATACAAACTCCTTAAAGGAAGCAGCCTTTTCATTCGATTACTTGTTACGGTCAAAATCGGTTCTTGAGCGAAAATTGGCCTTTGAGAAATGTAGTACGGAGAATAACGATAGAAAAATGGGTTAATTAGTCAAAAAAAAAAAAGAAGGTATTATTATACATACATATTTGAAAATTTGTCGAATTTGGGCGTTCGAAAGTATGGTCTCTCGATCACGTGTACCGTTGATCGAATCGCAATTATGTAATTAAGGAAAAGTCTGATAAGGAGTATATTCTTAATTGTTATTTTTTCCTCGTCTTTAAGCTTATTACGTTCAAATATCGTATGATAAATGGTGATGTAATTAATTTGGAGTCAACTATTGAGTATATAAGGAACATAAGAAAATAAAGGGAAGGTTAGACCTTTTCGCTTACAAAAAAAAAAACAAACTAGAATTCTTAAAAACATAAAATCGATACCTTTGTAAGACGTTGGTATCTTGCTGTTGACTTGATCCTTGCAAAGGTGGAAGTTTTCGACAAGACATATAATTATTTCGTGCATTAATCCAAAGATTGAGGTCACTTTTATTCGTGGTCAGTGAGCGCCGCGACATCACTTCATATTTTGTCGTTTCAAGCTGAAGTTCTTTTATATAATTATCTATAGTTTAATTTTCACTTGTCCATCTTTGAATTATCTTCTGAGAATCACACGTCTGACACCAAGCCGGAAATTATTATATAAATCACAACTTATATATCTTGAATCATCTATTTTTCTAGTTGATAAAAACACCAACACAAATTCGTTTGAGTTAGTCCGTGCAATTAGTATTTATTCTAAATAAAGATCAACGATATTATATAATGTTGACTTAATTATTCAGAGAATTTGATAGAAAAATAAGTCACCTGTCATATAATCAGCTTACTGAAAATAAATCATCAATCTTCCGAACATTGTCTGATTTTTTAATAGGAATCCATTCGATCGCTTCATCGTACGTTGCGATTTTAAGTTGAAATTCTTTAATATAATCGCTAACACTTTTCTTCTACTTGTTCTTCCTTGTATATAGAACTAATACCCGGGTAATAAAAAAAATAAGTTAACAATATGTTACAGCAAGGAAATCTAATTCAATAACCAGGTGGATCTTCTAGAAAACTAAAAACAGTCGAAGCAGAAACGCGGATGCAAGATCAAATCAAGACGGAAATCCTGCGAGTAAGTTTGTTCAATATACTGAGTCTACCAAGAATCATCAGCCATCAGGAAGTCTATTCAATATATCTAGAGAAATAATCTCGGGATGCCTGGTTCAATATACCATTTAAGATATACTGAGGCAACTGTTCGACATATTGAAAAAAACAACCAGGAAGAATTAACTAGCAGTAGCCTGGTCCAATATATCTACCCAAACCCCCCTGAAATCGTTTGAAAGTTCTCAACAGCCAGCTGAATCTACCCGAAAGCCTCCCGTATTATCGACTTGTATGGAAAACATAACTGTTTCTCCTACTATCATATCAAAACGGTAGACCCCTACAAGGATCTCTACTTGCCTTGAAAATAAAACTCGGAAAGGAAATTCAAATCACTCCTTCATGGTCGGAATCGAAGTTATCGTGTTGTTTGTATAAAGTGCGTCTTCCAACGCTTCTTCAACTTCTTCACAAAGCTTATTATTGGAAAGATCCAAATTCTGCAAAGTGGTATTTTTGCAAAACGCATGTGCGATTGCTTTTCCTCCGTTTATTCTTATATCGGTTCAACGGTGAAAATCGTAAGAAAATTCTTGTTGGGTTTCTAAACTAAACAAAAAAGCTTAAAAATTTTTATTAATAAGTTTGGATTAGAAATAATAAATTTTTGAAAACTGAACTTTTGAAAAATTTTTTACATACAGTAGGTCCAGGAAGTTGTGGGTTTGTGATGTTCGTTTCCCATGTCTGGTTCCATGCTGAATGAAGTTGCCGGTAGATGTCAGTATGAGTGGAGCGATAGTGAGCGGTAGTTTCGCGAGTATAAAAATCCTTAAAAAACATATTTCTGTATTTAACGAAGTAGAAAATGATGACACGAAATAGAGAGAGATGGCATGAAATAGGGAGAGTTGGCCGTGATAGTTTGATTTTATATAAAATATTAAAGGGACCCGTTTTGACAACTTTCAAAAAATTTTTTATAGATTACAGGATTATGAAAGCTAATTACAAAATTTTACATGTGTTTTATTTGTAGATCTTCAAAGTTAAAAATTTTACACGTGGTTTTATTTGTAGATCATCACTTAAATTCGCACGGGGATCTACGTTACACAAGTATTTATACAGGATATTGCTGTATTTCTGTATTGTCTAGCTTTTTAACCCTCGTGATACTTCTGTACTTTGGGATTTATTTAAAAATAATAATGATAGGGTGAAACCGATCCTAATTTTATCATATACTTCGCTATAGTAACTCTTTTTTAGAGCTTTATTACTGTATTAGGAACGGAAAGCAACTGTTACACATGTTTGTACTGGATACTGTATTATTTCTTAAAAAATATTAGGCACAATAGAAGGTACAGTTATAATACTACATTCTATTCAATTTGAGAGTTATTGTACAGTGGTAACTAGCTAGAAAAGAATCTATAATTATTGTTATCTCGATGAAATTATCAAATTGTGTTGCATAGAAAACAAATATGGGAAATAGATCTCACTGATACTTAGCATATCGTTTCCTAAATTTTGCAATAACTGGCGTAAATAGCATATATCAAAATGTGGTAAAAGAGTATCGATATATCAAATGAATTTAAATATTCATTTATAATTATCTCTTAGATAATAACCTAATTGATCAGGTAATATTTGCGCTACTTATAAGTCGCCATCTACTTTCTATAATGTTATATAAACAGAACTGAACAAGGTCCTTGTATTGCTACACAGCTTAAGAGTCTTTATTTTGCATTGAAATATGGAAAATAAGCACAGCATCCTCTACCCTACTTTTTTCAATTTCAGATTAGCGGAAATAGCAATAAAATCTTTAATCAAGTGGGGTCTTTGCCTTGAAAATGACCTTACGGTATCATGTACCATACGGTCATTTTCAAGGCAAAGACCCCAAGTTATTCCCGTTAATCTGAAATTGAAAAAAGTAGGGTAGAGGGCGCTGTGCTTATTTTCCATATTTTATGGTATTATACCTGTTAATACTTTGATATTCCATAACTACTCTTACGACATTTCTATTATCTTTTTCACACGTTTCGTCATTTTACTACAATAAAAAAAGTTCTGAATAATAACAATTATATTCAGAATTTTAACACAATTTATAGTAGATAGATTTTATTACAGTCTTGATAAAACTTATTTAAGATACAAAATAATAGACGGATCATAAAAACCATCTAACATTTTAAAATTTTAAATCTAATATATTTACCGGTATTATTCTTCTACCAAAAATATAATCGCTTATGATCATTATACATAGATCGCTTCTAATTAATTTTTCATATGAACAACCAAAACATCCATTGTTTTTGCTAAGCAACCATCATTAGAAAAACATTACTTTATTTTGAATAATGCATTTTTAATAAAAGATGAAGTTTTTATTGCATCTTTAGGTCCACTGCTCTAATACCATTATATTTATCAAGAAATACAGTATGAGCTTCACTATAATTTATTAAAACTACACAAGGTGGAAAAACAGACTACAGATAATACTGAATTCTAATATAAATCTTTTATTATACAGTATAATCCCATAAATTTTTTTTATCTAAGATTTGCTGATATTGTTGATAAATTTATCATAGACTTTAGATATAATGGATAAAGGCAGTCAATTTTACAGTCTCTCATAGTAATGAACCCATTTTTTAGAATCAGTGAAAGACGGGGTTTTGACAATTCCTACTCGATAACATATTTCCAAGTTTTTATTTCATCCATTTGCAATCATCTCTCCTAATAAGTGAGATTAATGAATAGAATAAACTCTTTAAAATCGAAAAAATCTTATCTGGGTGCTTTATTGCAATACTTGAAATTTATTCTTTTGAATTTTTTTGATGTACGCAAAAAAAAATAAATGAAGCCAAAAAGCCTTAGTTTGGCTGTGAAATTAAACAATAATGTCTTCAAATTGTGCTAATTAGTTTATTTCCCATTCAGTGACGAGTGTTAAAACAAGTCATTTTAGCGTAAACATTGTTTTTTTAACTGCTGCAAGAGATTTCACTAAAAATTCACTGTGAACAAATCCAAATTGATTTTCATGTATGGAGAGAATATTCAGTGAACGTCGAGACATTATTTAAGAATGTCGATATTTTTTGTTGTCACTAGTATTAGTGCTAGTCGTTGAACGACGAGTTATATATAACAAATATAAACCCGTTGGTTATCGTCTGTCCCAACGTAATCTACAGATTTTTAATATATATATATATATATATAAAGTTACTCATGCGTAAAGTTTCGTGTCAGTAAAAAAAATTGTTTGCAAATCAGTCAACCTTTTCATTTCTACAGTAAAAAATCTGATCCGATGATTTTCTCCTAATCATCACAAAATATCACAGAATTTCGAAAAATACGCAGAATATCACAGAATTCATAATATATCGCAGGATCTGACCATAAATTTAAGCTGGCGTCAGAAAATGCTGTAAAGGTAGACAATAAATTACGAGCGTGTTCACCGGTAAATTTATAAGGGTGTTACGATAACATGTATAGCATAGTCGGTCAAAGGAGTATAGTATACAATTTTATACGGAATGTATATTATTTATTGAAAACTTATGCATTAAGTATAAAATTTTAAACCATATTATACATTCCGTATAATTTTGGTAAAAAAATTATACACTTTGTATAATGTAAAGTAAAAAATTAATTAATAAGAGTTACTAACACACTACACGAGAATCGGGAATAATTAATTTTTATTCTATTATTTATGTTTGTTTTTTTTTCGAGCTTTTAAATAAAGATATCTTAATGACAAATTGGTTAATTTAAAAGTTTAAAGCTGTTTTCGAGCCCTATTGATTTACAGAATTCGAAAATGGCTTCATTTAAAATTTGATTATACCGTTAAAAAAAGTTAGGTATTTTATTGTTTGGTTAACAAAACAAAAATCTAATATAATAATAGATATGATACTAGAAATTAGTTTTCAAAGAGAATCTTTGGGGACAATTTATAAAAATAGAGAATTTGAAGAAATTTTCGATGGGTATTTAAAGGCGCAGTAATAAAAAAAGAGAGTTGCTATTTTCACCCCACTTTTGCTAACCCCATCCCCGAATTTAAAAAAGTACTCCGGATGAGGTATTTTTATTAAGTAAATCTTAGTTTGATCTTAATAAAAGTTGTTCATCAGGCCTTTCTGGTTCTAATGGTAGTAAAATAATTAAAATCGGATCAATGGTTTTTTTTTAAAATAAAAGTTAACTAACTTCAGATATATATAACTTAGGAACTATTGGTCTAACTTTAATGATTTTACTACCATTAGAACCAGAAAGGCCTGCTGAACAACTTTAATTAAGATCAAAATAGGATTTACTTAATAAAAATGCCTCT